GGTAAATTTACTGTGGCGGTGGAGATATTTGCCATTCTGGCCTCCAGCTTTGGACTAATATTCTGCATCTTTGTTCCTAAATGTTTCATAATCGTGTTTAAACCAGAGAAGAACACAAAAAAATATTTAATGGGTAAAAATGAATGTAAATGAAGCCAGAAGAAAGTTTTAGAATCTGAAAAAAATTTGAAAAAAGCATAGAAATGATAATACTCATTTGATTGTTCTTTCGATTCTTCACTGAAACAGAAATAAAATGATTGATAATTGATCATTAAATTATTGCTTAACCATGGAATTATCTTTTTTTACTCACTTTTTTATTTTTCCAATCCAAGATAAATTGGAAAAACTGTTTGAATTATTTATAATCTGAAGTCATAAGTATTTGCATCACATTTATTTCAAGATATGTTTGGGTTTACACAATTTTCAAAAATATTGAATCAAATAAAATACATTATTTCAATACTAAATTTCAGTCACACATTAATAAGTTTCAAAGTATAAATACCTTTTTGGCCCTTTGGATTTTGATCATAAGACTACCCATTCATATGTTTTGATTTATTTTTAGATAAGGTGATTGTGGCTTTTAAATTTTTTTCAATTAATGTTTGTAATTTATTTTGTTTTTGAGAGTGATTATGTTACTGCCATCAGATGTTTTAACTGCTTCCTCAATAACAACTCCATTTGCCTAGAATCATGGATGGATAGATGGACCATTGGCTAACAACGGCCATAGCTTCAAAAACTATATTGACAGAGGGCAGTATCAAGTCCACATAGACATGAACTCAACCACTCACACGAATAAAATTAAGTTGAAAACAAGACTTTTTGAATCTGTACAGCATCTAACCTTTCATCCAACACGCATCTTCGGCTCTTAACTACATAATGGGGGAAGCTTATCAACACAGAGGGCCCTCGCCTCTACACTGTCTGGAAGGAGCAGGTTTTGGTCCCATAGTTCATCAGCTTATGAATCCAGTTTATAGACCTTCTTTTAACTTCCAAACTTCCAAGCCCCATTCATTTTGTGGATTTGTTGAAGTCCCACAACAACAATAACAACAGAGAAGAAGCTGATCATTAGTTAGAAGACAATAAGAGTGCACTTTTAGGATATTTGCCCCCATCTTTGGTTTTATTTCCAACTGCACTTAATATCTATGAACAATTTTGATGCTTTTAGAAGCTGGTCTACTTCATTTGTTTAAATATTGTTTTGGAGAGGAGTGTAATTTATTCTTGAGTGACTTTTATTCGGGTTCTATGGTTGATGGAAAATAAATATATGAAAAAATGTGGGAGAATGAAACGACTCTAAAAGATGACTAGCTGTGGGCATTTCCCTCTCTGGCAGACAACAGACGAGGTATAAAACCAATGAAAGATCAGTTACACCCACATACTCTTGAGGGATGGGGACTGAAGTTTTTTTGGTTGGCCTTACATTGGCTCTTTGTTTGTTTGAAGGTAACCCATCAGGCACCCTGGATCAACCTCTGGCACACAGGACTGGGCCTACAGAGGCTGGGACCGGGGGAGTCAGAGATAAAAAATCATTTGAGAAATGTAGTCTGCAGGGTGCTGTTCGTTTACCGGTTCTGTCAATGAATGGGGACTATGTTGTTGGAGGTGTTTTCTCCATCCACTTCAGCATCCACACTGCGATTCATAACTACACCAGCAAGCCTGAGCCGCCACAGTGCACGGGGAGGTTAGTGAGAGAGGATGAGATGGAGGAAGGACAAAAAACTGTATGAATGTGGACATTGTAATGTAAAGTCAAGTCCATAGAGCCTTTATGATGTTTTTGCAATGATTGGTTTAGCCTCGTTCACTAAGAGATGAACAGGTTGTTCCAATTATGACTTAATTTGACAAAACAAAATTAGGACGTTGCTGTTAGTTTATAACTTATTCTGATGTTATTGGCTTAAATTGACTTGGTCTTATCACATTTCAGTTACAGATAAAATTTAGACACTAAGAGATGAACAGGTTGTTCCAATTATGACTTAATTTGACAAAAAAAAATTAGGACGTTGCTGTTAGTTTATAACTTATTCTGATGTTATTGGCTTAAATTGACTTGGTCTTATCACATTTCAGCCACAGATAAATTTTAGACAGTCTGGCCTACTACAGATCAGTTCCTCTTTGTAACTTTCTCGTTTACTTCTTGCAGCGTTGATGCCCGTGAGCTTCGCTTCTCTCGCGCTATGATTTTTGCCATCGAGGAGATTAACAACAGCACCGAGCTGCTGCCAGGCATCAGGCTCGGATATCAGATCCATGACTCTTGTGGCTCTGTGCCAGTGGCTGTGCACGTAGCGTTTCAGCTCTCCAACGGCCTTGAACCCGCGTTTCACCCCGGTGAAAGGTGCTCCAGATCTGGTATGGTGATGGGCGTTGTTGCAGAGTCTGGATCCACGCCATCCATCAGCATATCGCGCATTATCGGGCCCTTCAACATTCCTCAAGTAAATATTTTGAATTTCCTTCTCCGTGTTTAAACCATGATTCTGAACATTCTGAAAAACAATATTCAGCCTTGGTATAAGTTTTATCCTATTCTTTTTTCTTTTTCTCACGTTTCTATCGACTTATGGCATTGTTCTTTTTTATTTATATATTTATTCTTGTGCAGATTAGTCACTTCGCCACATGCGCCTGCCTGTCAGATAAGCAGCAGTAC